ACACGGCATCTCCTAAACCCACTCCCACCCACTGCGGAACAAGGCCTGCATCTCCATTCTTATAACCCCGTGTAAATCGCAACTGAGGCAATAGGGCCTGTTCTTTCCGGGGCTAATAGTCTTTCTGGATTTTTATTGACTTCGTAGTTAGTTTCTGTCGCTATAGCAACAGCACTATACCGTTCCTGGTAGCTACCTAGGTATTCTGTCTCTACGGTAACCGGTGCTTTGCGACCTTCAGTTTGCAGCAGTCGCACTGCAACTACGGAATTGCTGAGCGACTGTGAAGGGAATCCCGGCTATGGTAGGCGCTTTCCAGGGAAACCCTCAGAAGACGGGTGTTTTGGGTTGGAGGACTGACCCCGCAGCCCATGGCGGTGGCAGTGCCCCCGGGCGGAGCAAGGGGCTCTGGCTGGACCTGGCGACCAGTGGCACGGGACGCCCTCCTGGCTCGAGCGTTCCACTCATGCACCGAACTGAGGGACCACTTGTATCTGGTGGGGGGTCTGTTGGCTGGAGGAGCGAGAGAGCCGAGCAGTGATACGGTGGCTTTCGATCCAGCTGGGGGCCGGGTCGTGAGGGTGGATGCCCAGGGTGGCCCGAGGCGCAGTCACCACGATGCCGCGCTGGTGGAAGGGCGCTGGCTCTGCGTGGTGGGCGGCTGGGACGGGTCGCGCCGTCTGGCCGCAGTGACAGCCCTGGACGTGGAGCGTCGGGTGTGGGAGACGTGGACCGCGGCTCCTGGCAGCTGCCCGCCTGCTGGCCTCAGTAGTCACACCTGCACCCGCCTCTCCGACCGAGAGCTCCGTGTAGCTGGCCGCGAGGGTGGTACCCGTACCCAGCGCCGCTACGGAAGCATCTACACGTTAAAGTTGGACCCTCGTGACCGCACCTATTGGTACGACATCCCCTGCCCCAAATCCACCACACATCCTCATCCACACTCCAGAAAAGCAAAGACTAAATAAATTGTAAGGAAGCTCTGGTCCTTAAGAGTTGCGCTGCTAACCCAAAGGTTACATTATTCCAGCGCTTTGAATCCACTATCCGCTCAGCGGGAGAAAGATGATCAGTTTCCTCCCGTTCAGATTTATTTACAGCCTTGAAACCAGATGGACAGTTGCCGAAAGCTACTCACGGCAGGCAGTGTCTTGAATTTTTGAGGAAAATTTCACAATTTTTTTTCTGTATATGCACATTAGCACTTTTCTGTCCTTGAACTCTGAGTATTACCGTCTCTCTCACAAGACCTCCTATGGTTTTTAATCCTTGAGAAGGGCTGGGCCCAGAGTTTATCGTGTATCACGTGCCCTGGGCGGCCCCACGGAGCAGTTTCTGTAAATCCAGGAAAGCCCAACACGTTCTTCACTCAATCAAGACATCCAGAGGAGGGGACTTTGTGCAAGTCCAAAGGGCTGTGCCTGGTCGTTATGAAATGACATTCCAAGGTGCCAAATAAGAAGGCAGGATGGACATTAAGAGAGGATGTGTGCCATTTAGAGATTGACCTGGGGCCTCCAGGGATGGAGGGAACAATCGTAAAATTTCTCAGGGGTGCACCAAGGCAGTAGAGGGCTTAAATTGTCCCAAAACTCAACTCGGGCTCGAATTTCTGCACATCCACAGTTACAAGGAAGAAAGCCTCCACACAGCCTCACGCTCAGGTCACTGTGCTGCCTTGCTCCAAACTCCTGGCCCCCACCCAGGTCATCAGCTGTTGCTCTTTGGGGGCTGCAACTCTTCTGAACCAGAAGTAGCTGGGCTTTGGAGTTATGGGAAGATTAAGGTATTATTTATTCACATCTTGCTTAGAGCTGAAGGGACTAAAACTAATCCTAAAATACCTTCCAACAGTCCTATCCTTCTCCTTCCAGGAGGAACCACCTGCTGCCCCTCATTTGATGGACCAGCTATCAAAGCTTGTGAGCAGTGGGCAAGGGTCCCAGCAGGGGCCTCGGGGCCTCCGCCATCACTCATGTTCTGTGGTGGGGCCTTTTGCTGTGCTGTTTGGCGGAGAAACTCTCACTAGAACTAGAGACAACATCTGCAATGACCTCTACATCTATGATACTCGTGAGAGCAAGCCTAGTAATGCCTGAGGGGGAAAGCTGGGAAGTAGGAGAACCTGAAATCTGCAGACAGAGTATTGGGGAAGGAAAGAAGGATTAATAGACATGATTACAGGGGAGTGTCTAGAAGTAAAGATTTGAAGAGAATTCAAAATCAAGTTTTGGAGAAAACCAGAAGTTGTTAATCTTAAGAGCCAATGGGTCCTAAAATGCTCATGCCTTAATAACTGCTCCCCCTCTACTCTATCCAACAGGCAAGTCTCCTGCTCTGTGGTTCCGCTTCCCCTCTGCAGACCGTGGGCTAAAACGAGTAGGCCATCAGACCTGCCTTTGGAATAATCATCTTTACCTGGTTGGGGGTTTTGGTGAGGATGGTAAGACAGCAAGTCCACAGGTTTGCATCTTGGACATCTTTGTTTAAAAGCCTCTATCCTGTTGTAAACTTATAAAGCATTACTAATTACCACATCTATCTGCCTTATTTCAAATACCTATTAAAATTCAATCTGAAAGTCAACCTTCATCTCTAAACTTTTCTAGGGGGAGACAATAAATAATAAATACATCTTTATTTGCAAGGGAAAGGATAAAATATGGGTCCTGCACTGACACTGTGAGCAATTAATCCTAGTGGGACCAAACCCACGATAAACTTCCTGTTACCCAAATCATGCAATTTCCACCCAACAGAATATGACAACTACAGAACAATCTCACTGATTTCACATGCAAGCAAGATTTTACTGAGGATTATTCAAAAATAACTGGAACAGCACATCAGCAGAGAACTACCAGAAGTCCAGGCTGGGTTTAGAAGGGGTCGTGGTACTAGGGATATTGTAGCTGATGTTAGATGGATCTTAGCTGAAAGCAGGGAATACCAGTGGAATGTCTATCTGTGTTTCATTGTGTAAAGGCATTTGACTGTGTGGATCATAACAAACTATGGCCGACTCTGAGAAGAATGCGAATCCCAGAACACTTGATCATTCTAATGAGAAACCTGTACTTGGACCAGGAGGCAGTCGTCAGAACAGAGCAGGGGAACCCTGCATGGTTCAAAATTGGGAAGAGCGTACGCCAGGGATGCATCCTATCTCCATACCTTTTCAACCTATATGCAGAACAGATTATCCGGAAGGCTGGGCTCTATGAGGAGAAATGGGAGATCAAGATTGGTGGACGATTTATCAACAATCTGTGTTATGCAGATGACACAACCCTGCTTGCTGAAAATGAAGAGGACCTGAAGCACCTGCTGCAGAGGGTCAAGGATTGCAGCCTCCACTATGGATTGAGGCTCAATGTCAAGAAGACAAAGATTCTCACCACTGGACCAATTGGCAGCATCAGGATGGATGGTGAAGAGATTGAGATTGTACACAGCTTTAGTTTGCTTGGCTCCACAGTCAACAGTCTTGGCACCAGCAGCCAGGAAATTAAAAGGTGCATTGCCATGGGAAAGTCTGCTGTTAGGGACCTCTCCGAAGCACTGAAGAGCAATGGTGTCTCTCTGGAAACTAAGGTGTGTCTGATACAGGCCATGGTCTTCGCAATCACTTGTTATGCATCAGAGTGTTGGACAATGACCAAGGAGGACAGAAGGAGAACTGATGCCTTTGAGCTGTGGAGATGGAGAAGAGTATTGAGAATACCATGGACTGCTAGGAAAACAAACAGATTCGTCCTGGAAAGGGTTAAACCGGGTGGCTCCTTGGAGGCAAGGATTCTGAGCCTCCGTCTAACATACTTTGGACATGTTGTGAGGAGAGACTGGTCCTTGGAGAAGGACATCATGCTTGGGAGGGTGGAGGGACAATGCAGGAGGGGAAGGCCCTCTATGAGGTGGATTGATTCAGTGACTGGGATAATCGGGATGGGAGTGTCAGAGACAGTGCCATTGGCACAGGACAGAGCAGAGTTTCGGGCTGTTGTACATAGGGTCGCTATGAGTCGCAAACGACTCGACGGCACATAACAACAACAACAACAATACTGGAAGAAAGTTTCAGGCTAAAGCTAAGCATTCTGACCAAAACATTTAATTAACAACAAAAAAAAAAAAATTAACAATAGCAGAGAAAATAATAACAATAAAGAGAAATCAGAAGGAGTAGGAATCAGGGTAGAAAAAATGCAAAGGCCTTGGTCCCTAGGAGACCAACACTCCGGCTGAGCTGGCCTTAGCCCCAGCTCCTTCTGAATTTTCCTTGGCTGCTGGCTTCTCATCTTCCCCCATGAGACGAATGTTGTGCTTTTCCCGGAATTCATTTAGTTCTTTTCCCTTTGCCTGCAGCTGCTGTGTCAGTGTCTCAATGATCTTCTGGATCTAAAGGGAAAGAGAAATGGGTTATATAAGAATTTCAAGATTCCCTTTGCCCACCCAGTAAGGGTTATTGGTAGAGGTGAAGGAGATTCCCTTTGCCCACCCAGTAAGGGTTATTGGTAGAGGTGAAGGAGAGGTAACTAACACCTCTAAACTTATTTGTAATGAAGTACTGCTATTAAAACTCAGAATGAAATTATTCTTCTCTTGAACAGTGGTTAATAAACCTCAGTGTACCTAAGAATCATCTGAGTTGCTTGTTTTAAAACTATCCTTTCAGGAGTTCTTTCCCAAAGGTTCTGATTCAGTGGATCTAGGAAGCAGCATTTTAGTCTGACAGGTGATTTTAATGCAAGACGGCCTAGTGGTTAAGTGCTTGGCTACCAATTTGGAACCCTAAAGAGTTTTTGGAACTTTATGCAATTCAACTGTAATAGGACCACTATGAGATAGAACTGATTATATGACAACAACAGAGTCATCTGTGGGCCATGCTGTGAAAAACATGCTGGCTCCTCACACCCCATTCAGCCAGATCACAGAACCCATGAAAAGAGGCAAAGCAGCCAGTAACTCCTTTTGTCCAAAGACATTATAGGCTCTTTATGGTCTTTTCAACATAAGTTCCTGCCCAAACTCTTCTCTGTCACATTTTCTGGCCTAACCTTCTACCCAGAGATCCTTGCTTACCTGCTCCTTGTTGTTCTCCAAGGCAGGCAGCACCTCTTTGACAGTGCGCTCCACCAGTACTCCTCCAACCATGCGGTAGCACTTGCGGGTTTCATCTACCTCCTTCAGTGTATCAATCACTAGGCTGGGTTTGAAGAACACGACAGAATCTGAGAATTCAGTCCTACTCACCTCTCCCTCACAGAATGGCCCATCTAAGTCTCCTATAGTTTGTTTCTTGCCAGTTTCCTCACCTGTGCTCATTCAATTCCATCTCCAACTCAGCTGCTTTGGATGCCAGGCCTCGTTGTTCCTGCCGAAGACGGTTAAAGCCAGCTATTACCTTTTTAAAAAAAAAAAAATAATAATAAGATGTAAGTGGAAATGGCAAAAAGTCAAGAGAATACAGAGGTAGAATAGCTGGCTTTACAAAGGTGCAGTAGTGGATACCTACTTTGGAAAAGGAGCAAAACACAATTTTGCAATTTCTAACTTAAGTCTATCTGGATTTCCATTCACCTATCTGATAACACAGATGCTAAGTACTTATTGTGTACTTAAAACGAATACACAGATATTTGCCACACGCTAGTAAATAGAACAGATTTGGCCTCTGGCTCCCTGTAGCCTTTCATTTGGTGGGAGATGATATTACTTGCCACCAAATCAATCCTGACTCGTAGCAACTAACGTGGTCTTTGAGAAGCTGACTGCCAAGTCTTCCATGGCAATTACAAACCACTAGCCTTAAATCCCTTGGAATAAAGAGAAACATTGTTAGATATAATATTAGAAGTAGAGGCCCTCAGATTGAGAGACATTAAAAATGAAGAGAAATAGCTACAAATGTCTTTTAATAACTGGAACATGAATGTATGAAGTATGAAACTAAGGAAACTGGAAGTTGTGAAAACCAAATGGAACACAAAATTTGATATGTATTTCCTAGGTATGAATGAGCTGAGACAGTCTGGTATTGGCGGCTTTGAATCAGACAATCACACAAGCTACTATGCCAGAAATAACAAATTTAAGAAGAATGGTGCTGCATTCATAGTAAAAAAAGAACATTTAAATATCTATTCTGAAGCACAATGCTGTGTATGATAGGATACTATCCATAAATGTATAAGAAAGACCCGTTAATACAACTGTTAGTCAGATCTATATGTATCAATCACGAAAGCCAAAGATGAAGAAATCGAGGTCTTCTACTAACTTTTGCAGTCTGAAATTGATCAAACATGGAATCAGGATGCAATAATAATAATCGGTGACTGGAAAGTCAGAAAAAGAATAACCGATAGTTGGAAAATACAAAGTTGGTTGCATAAATGAGACTGGAGATTGATATGATTTTATACAATTAATGATTTACTCACTGCAAATACCTTTTTTAAAAAAACAAATGTTAACTATACACATGTCCCTCATTTGATGGGCTACATAGGAATCAGTGTAGATTGACATGTGTGGAAAGAATCCTTAGAGAAGTTAATCTCTGCAGTCAAACAAGGCCATGGGCTGACTGTGAAGTAGATCATCCAATTACTCATGTACAAGTTCAAACTGAAGTTTAAGAAAATTAAAACCAGTTCACAAGAACCAAAATACCATCTTAATGCACACCCATGTTTATTGCGGCTTTGTTCACAATAGCAAGGAGTTGGAAAAAACCCAGGTGCCCATCAACAAACGAATGGATAGAGAAGCTGTAGTAGATTCACACAATGGAATACTAACAAAACAAAAAAACCAAACAATGGAATACTAACTACACTGCATTGAAAAACAAGGAACTCATGCAATATTATTCAAAATGGGTGACCCTGAAGGACATTATGCTGAGTGAAATAATCTCAGTCACAAAAGGACAAATACTGCATGGTGCCACTGTAGTAGAATGGGACTGACATCAGGGTTGGGGTAAGACTAAGAAAAACTGGATAAATTACGTATACTGCATTGAAACAGATGAGGGAGAGAATAATTTAAAAATAATATATGATAGGGTATTATGGTTATCACAAGAGTCCAGAACTACGGTTAAATAGTGGAGTGTTCCTGGAGGGGTGGGGGAGAAGGGAGGTATTGTATACCAAAGAAGTACTTTTTCTTTTACTTGTCAAAGAGAGGAGCAAACTGGGGCGGGAGGGCCAGGGAGAAAAGTGCAACAATGAATGAATGGAAATCCAAAATCTCTGTAAATGTTCCTTAAAATTAATAAAATTGAAAAAAAAAATATCATCTTAAGTTTATCCCACTTGATTTTAAAAATCATCTCAAGAATAAACTTTACACCACAAAAAGATAAAGATAAACAACACAGTTGCAAAATAGGCACAGGATAGGAACAGACAGTTCAACAAAGAAGACTTCAGATGGCAAACACAAAAAAAAGTTCAAAATCCCTACCTCTAAGAGAGATGCAAATCAAAACAACTATGAGATATCATCTCATCCAGTAAAAAATAGCAAAATTCAACAGAGCAGCAAATGACAAATGCTGGCAAGGTTATGGAGAAACTGAAACCTTTATTCACTGTTCATGGGAGTATAAAATGGTGCAACCAGTATGGAAGGCAGCATGGCGCTTTCTCAAAAAGTTGGAAATAAAAATACCATTTGACCCAGCAATTCCACTACTGGGAATATACCCTAAAGAAACTAGAACTGCCACCCAAGAAGATATACGCACATCCATATTTACTGCTGCACTGTTCACAATAGCAAAGAGTTGGAAACAACCTAAGTGCCCATCAACAAACAAGTGGATAGAGAAGCTGTGGTATATCCACACAATGGAATATTATGCAGCACTGAAAAACAACCATGGAGGACATTATGCTGAGTGAAATATGTGAGTCACACAAAGATAAGCACTGCATAATGCCACTGTTATAAAGCAGGACTGAGGGGGGGTTGGGGAGAAACTAAGAAAAGAGGAGATAAATAATGTACATGGCATTGAAACAGACGAGGGAGAGAACTGTATAAAAGGAATATATGATGAGGTATTATTGGTATGACAGGAGTCCAGAACAAGAGCTGCCTAGTAAAGGGGGAGGGGGTGAGGCAGACGGACGGATTGTGTAACAATGAAAGAACTGTTTTCCAAAGAAAAAAAGGAAACTGGGGGAGAGCGAGGACAGGAAGGAAAATGTGCAACAATGAATGAATGGAAATCCAAGTTCGTTATAAACTTACAATAAAATTAAAAAAAAAGTATGAAGCACCAAACACTAATGATCAAAGACTAGATGAGTTGTGGAAAAACAACAATACCATCTAAGACATTACAAAGAGAAAAAAAGACTAACATGGATGTCAAAAGACACTGGAAAAAAAGACCTTAAAAACTGCACTAAACAATGGGAATAAAGGAGTCCTAGTGGCAAGAAACTGTTCTGCAACCCCAAAGGTGCATGGTTCGAATCCACCAGATGCTCTGCTAAGGGAAAGGGGCCATCTCCTCTGCCAGTCGGGTCCAATTTGATGGAAAACAACAACAACAACACAAAAAAAGAAGAACTGCTGACATAAAAGAGGTACACATTAGATTTTAAAAGGCAGTTTGAGAAGACAAATCAAGTATTATAATGAAATGTGCAAAGATCGAGAGTTAGAAGATCAGAAAATTATGCTCGGCATTTCTCAAGCTAAAGCACAAATCCATGCCTCAAGCTGTGATGATGAAAGATTCCATGGACAAAATCTTAAATGATGCAGAAGCATCAAAAGATGGAAAGAATACACAGAATTACTGAACCAAAAAGAACTCACCAATACTCAGTCATTTCAGGAACTAGCCTATGATCAAGAACCAGTGGTAATGAAGGAAGATGTTCAAAATATAAGGCCCCAGGAATTGATGTAATACCAACTCAAATGTCTCAAAGATAAAGTCCTAGGCGTGTTCACTAGTCTGTCAAGATATCTGAAAGACAGCTACCTCCTTGGCCAACTGACTGGAAGAGATCCCTAACTGTTCTCATTCCCAAAAAAAGGTGATCCAACAGAATGTGGAAATTATTGAACATTATAATTAATATCACATGCAAGTAAAATCTTGCAAGATTATTAAAAAATGGCTGGAAAAGTACCTCAAGAGAAAAATGCCAGAAATTCAAGCTGGATTCAGAAGTCATAGGAAAAGGAATATTATTGCTGATGTCAGTCAGATGGATCTTGGCTGAACACAGATAATACCAGAAAAATGTCAACTCATGCTTTATTGATTGTACAAACATTTGACCATGTTAATTGTAACAAATTATGGATAACATTGAGAAGAATGGGAATTCCAGAACACGTAATTGTGCTCATGCAAAGCTAGAAATAAACCAAGGAGCAGCCGTCCAAACAGAACAAGGGAATACTGCATGGTTTAAAATCAGGGGACATGTGTGTCAAGGGTTGTATCCTTTCTTCATGCCTATTCAATATGTATGCTGAGCAAATCATTCACGAAGGTAGACTATATGAAGGGTTATATTAGGATTAAAGGAAGACTCATCTGCGTGATGTAGATGATATAACCTTGCTTTCAGAATGAAGAGGACTTAAAAGATCAAACTAATCCCAACATCAAGGAAAGAAAAAATTCTCAAACAACTATGAGCCATCATCTCCAGTAAGAATAACAAAATTCAACAAAGCAGCAAACAACAAATGTTGGTGAGGTTGTGGAAAGACAAACTCTTATTCAGTGCTAGTGGGAATGTAAAATGGTACAGCCACTATGGAAAGTAGTCTGGCACTTTCCCAAAAAGCTGGAAATAGAAATACCACTTGACCCAGCAATTTCACTACTGGGAGTATACCCTAAAGAAACCAGAGCCACGACTCAAACAGATGCACACCCATGTTTATTGCTGAGTTATCCCCAATTGCAAAAAGAGATGGAAACAACCCAAGAACCCATCAACAAATGGATGAATAGAAAAACTATGGTACAGTCACATGATGGCATATTATGCAGCATGGAAAAACAATGAACTCATAAAATAAAACATTACACAACATGGGAGAGCCTGGAGGACATTATGCTGAATGAAGTATCTCAAAAGGACCAATAATGCACAGCACCACTGTTGTAAAATAGGATATACATGGAGGTGGGGAGAGAATAGGAAAGAGTGGCTAGATTATGAACACTGTATTAGAACAGATGAGGGAAGAACTGTCCAAAAGGAATATATGATTAGGTATTATATGTATGACAATCTGGGACAAAGGATACACTGTGGAGAGGAAAAAAATGTCCAATAATGGAGGGAAATAAAGTAAGTATGATGAAACGTTATCTAACATACTTTGGGCATGTTGTCAGGAGAAGTCAAT